TGGTGCTCTGTGTCCCATGGTCTCGTCAGCACGTTACATTCACAGTGGAGCTCCACGTCACGTGGTTCCGTCGGCACGTGTTACACGCACAGTCGTGCTCTGCATCACGTGGTCTCATCGGCACGTGTTACATTCACTGTGGTGCTGCACACCACATGGTCTCGTCGGCATGTGTTACACTCACAGTGGTGCTCCGCATCCCATGGTTTCGTCGGCATGTGCTACAATGCTGTTTGTACTGCTGCTGGCCTTCTTATAGTGGCTGATTTTGTCACGTTCTGTGGTGTTTTAGCTACAGTGTTATATGGAGATTAGTATTTGTGAACCTGAATCAATAAACTTCTTTGAGAATGAAGGAGTCATGAAAGGAAAAGGAGAAAAATCAAAACAGGCTCCCACTCAGTTACTAACCCTGTTGTAAATAATAATGTAACTGAACACAGAACACTTTTCCAAAACAAATAATAATATATAATCTAATGTAGAACACTTCAACACCTCAATAACAAAAAGACAAACAATCCAATTAAAAAATGGTTAGAAGACATGAATAGACACCTCACCAAGGAGGATATTCAAGCGGCCAACAAACATATGAAGAAATGCTCATGATCATTAGCTATTAGAGAGATGCAAATCAAAACAACAATGAGATACCATCTTGCTCCAGCACTAGTATCAAAGTTCAACAAGACAGAAAATAACAAATGCTGGCGAGGCTGTGGAGAGATTGGGACTCTCATACACTGCTGGTGGGACTGTAAAATGGTACAACCATTGTGGAAAGCAGTATGGCGATTCCTTCAAAAGTTGGAAATACAAATACCATTTGACCCAGCCATCCCATTACTAGGTATATACCCTGAAGAAGTGAGAGCCATGATAAGAACAGATATATGCACACCCATGTTCATCGCAGCACTATTTACAACAGCCAAAACATGGAAACAACCTAGATGTCCATCAACTGAGGAATGGATAACCAAACTATGGTACATACACACAATGGAATACTGTGCAACGCTAAAGAATAATGTAGAATCTGCAAAACACCGCATAACGTGGATGAACTTGGAGGACATTATGCTGAGTGAAATAAGTCAATCACCAAAGTACAAATATTGTATTAGTCCGTTATTGTGAAAGTTAAGGAAAGGTTTATCTATAGAAGGAAATCTTCTTTGTTGGTTACCAGAGGTGGAAGGGGCGGGGAGGGAACGCTGTTAGATAGATAGAAATAAAAATTGATTTGGATGAAGAGAAGGGCAATGTACCAAAGGTGAGTGACCAATATGGCAGCAATTGAGGATGAGAAAGACATAGAGAGGTACATGGGACGTACAGACAACAAATATGAACCCTTTTGCATGTACAGTACTGAGTTGTCAGTGAAGGCAAACATGGGTTTATGGACGGATAGATAAGTAGACAGGCTAAACAATTAGGTATGTCTAAATGGGGAATGTATCCAAGATCATATATAGGATTGGCAGACAATGGTCCCATTAGTTTATATGAATGATCAGAATTCCCAGGTGTATAGTAGAGCTGACAAGGGGCAAGGCTGTGGTCACTGCTCAGTCACAGCCAGCTACCCAGAGCGATGGAGTAGTTGAACCTGCAGGCTTGGGACCACAGTCACAGGGGACATCAAGCTCAATTGGCATAACATACTATACAAAACATTGTTCCACCTCCTACTTTGGCGAGCAGTGACTGGGATCTTAAAAGCTAGCAAGGTGCCATCTATATGCAACAATGGTTCTCTCCTTGTCAAGAAGAAAGAAGAAAACCAAAATTAATGGAAACAATCAGTCCTAGCGACTGGTACACCATCCAATCTGCAACCTATACAACTATGAGACCAGAAGAACTAGATGGTGCCTGGCTACCACTGTCATCCACTTGGAAGGGATGTAGGAGATCCTGGATAGATAGGGAAAACAATGTGGAACAAAACTCAAAATCATCTGGAGGGGGAAAAAAAAAAAAAGAAGGTGGGGACCAGATTTGCTGGTCCAATAGAGCCTGGTGGAACCACTGAGACTATGGCCCCGAGCTGCCCTTCAGGTCTGGAATTGAACCCACACCTGTGGTTTCCAGCCAAACAAAGTACAGGCATGTAAGTTAAACATTTAACTCAAGTAGACGCACGCCTTGGAGAGAACAATCATAGGAGAAGGAAGGGCTGCTTATGCACAGGGAGACAACTCAGGGGGCAGGAGAATATGGAGGGATGGTCACTGGGAAGAGCTAACTATGGGGAGGAAGTGGGAGGGGAGCTGTTGAACTGTGGTAAACTGTGGTCAATGACACGAGACAAAGTATATGTGAACTGCTGTATGGAAAGTGAATTTGCTCTGTAAATCTTCACCCAAATCAAAATAAAATAAAATAAATAAATAATATATAATCTAAGAAATATTATATTGAAGCAATTTACAACTACAATTGTCACATATTATTCTATTATTAAAATTAATCATAAACATTACTAAGGATTCTGTATGGTCTGCTATGGGAGGATGTCCACAGGGGTGGGGGTGACACCAACCCCAGTGACCCCACTCCTCTAGGTGGGTTCTCCAGATGCCACCAGGGAAGAGAGCCCCCAACAGAGACAGCAACTTGCACCTGCACCCACTCAGCCACATGCCTGACTACCAGCCAGAACAGTGGTGAAACAATGGCAAGTAAGCAAGCAGACGGGCTGAGAAGCCCTGAGCTACTGGATTCCCTCCCTTCACTCACGCCATAATGCTTACACAGCACAAGCCACAGGCTGGGCCTTGTTTCTAAGCACTGACTACTCAGCAACGGGCATAGACCAAACTGCTCACCTTCAGGAAGCTCCCATTCTAGCGTGGGGAGTCATCCAAGAAACAAGATGGCTAGGGCAAGTGCCAAGTGTGTAAAGGGGAGTTAGAGAAAGGAGGCCAGATGTTGGTGCAGGGAGAGTGGGATTATAATTTAGGCCAAGTGTCCAGAGAAGGGAGGGAGTCCCAGGCCAGGGGGAGTGCAAAGGCCCGGGGGCAGGCTCCTGACAGGCACTTTTGAACACAGAGGTCAGTGTGGCTTGAGCAAAGGCAAAGAGCAGGAGGAGCAGAGATGAGATGTGAGGGGCCAGATACCGTGGGCCCCACACAGCCTAGAAAGGATTTTGAGGTTTGCTCTGCATGAGATGAGAAGCCAGAGGAAGCGCCTGCACAGAGGAGGGACAGGGTCTGATTCATGTTTCCTTGGGCTGCTGGGTGGAGAGGAGATTATAGAGAGTAGGAGCAGGGGGACCAGTTACTTCAAAAATCCAGGAGAGACAGGGCACAGGCCAGACCAGAGTGTTGGCAGTGGGGGCAGTGAGAAGTAATTACATTCTGGAAGATCCTGCCCTATAAATACCAAATGCAACTGAAGGAAGCAATGATGAGCAGAAGACCCGTAGGCCTGCTGCTTACTACAGGGATCAAGGGGGCCACCAACCAAACACAGCCTGGCTGCCTACTCTTGGCCACGTACCAGCAGAGCTGGGAGACAGGGATGAGGTAGCTGGGTCCCTGCCGTTGGGCCTGGTGTGGACACAGGCACTCGGGCCACTGTGCAGGCCCCAGGGGCCGAGGTTCATGAGCAGAGCTACGCTGCTGCCAGGTTTATCTGGTGAAGGCTAGAGAGACTGAGGCAGGGAGGGCCACAGTGACGTGCACGTATCCAGGACAAGAGGCCTGGACGCCAGAAGTGGGGCAGAGCAAGGCAGGCAGCTACTGCCCTGCTCAGGCTCCAGTGCACCTGAAAAATGAGGGAGAGAGGCTGGACCCAACTACCTCTACTCACCCCCCAAGGCCAAGTCCAGCATTCCTGCTCTGCGAGGTTATCCCTGACACACTACAGCCCAGTCAGCCCTCCCTCCTCTATGCACTCCTGGAATTCAGGTATGAGCAATGGCAATAAACCCACATCCACCCAGGTCACCCACCCCCTAGACTAGGGGTCTCTCAGGGGCAAGAAGGGCCAGATCCACTCTGATCATCTTTGTTCCCTGAATCCATGAAGCCCAGTGTCCGACGTACCAAGGAGTTCTGGAAAGGTCTACAGGGTGAAAGCAGGTCTTGGGGGTTTGCTCAGGCCTTTCTGCTCCTGGTCTAGTTTTCATCATCATGAATTGGGCATGGGAGGCCACCCAGGAGGCTTGGTGTGGGTGCCTGTGCAGCAGCAGTGAGGGCACTGGCGTGGGGCAACGTGACCCCTGGTGGCCAGCCCCACGCCAACCACAGAAGCTGTGGAGGGCTCTGGGGACTTACCCATAGTAAAAGTCCTCCAAAGGATGGGTTATTCCTGAGTACAGGTACTGCCTGTTCCCTCCAGGAGCACAGCCTCCTTCCCTCTGAGAAATTCCACTTGGAAGGGGTCAGGGCTATGATGGGACTCAGCTGTTTGCAGTTGTTTTGTTCATGGTCTGGGAAGGCCGAGTTAGCTGCCTCCCTGACCCCACCCACTGTGCTGCAGGAAGCCCCAACAGAGAGAGGCCGGAGGGTGGACTGTCAACGGGCCAGCCTCCATGGCCTGGATCCCCCGGGGCCTTCTTGTCATCATCTCCCACTCTTGACATTCCTGGGATGCAGCTCACTCTTCACCCCTATGGAGGTGTGGTCTTATCTTGGCCCCTCACGAGGGCACCAACCCCTTCTGGAAACAAGCCCCCCTTTATGGCAGAGGTGCGCAGGAATGGCAGCTTCGGGTGGCAGAAGGGGTAGAACTGAGCTGGGTCCTCAAGAGTGTGATGGGTTCTCCTCCTTACTCACCAGTGGCCTCTACCCTGGGCCCACTGCCTCCTTCTTGGCGTGTTTATCACAGCTCGGCTTGGGGCTCATCTGTCCATGCACCACCACCAGCACCCCCGCCCCAGGCACCTCCCGGCGCTCCCTCTCAGGCCCTGAGCACTTGCCTTGCCCAGCCTGGTGCACAGGCCACAGCCCCACTTACACACCAGCCTCCACACAGGTCCTTACCGGCTCAGGGCTGAAGGTTCTGCACACTCTGGAGTCTGCTCCCCGGTTGCTGAGACTTTTCCTCAGAATCATCACCATGGTAAGGACCTCAGGGGCTGGACTCCAGCCCAGGGCGGGCACAAGCCATCACCGGGTGAGCGCACGTGGGCAGGGGCTACGTCCTGGGCACCCCCAGGCACCAGCAGAAACAGCTTCCCACCGGCCTTGCACCCTCAGGGCGGGGCCTTTCTGGAAGATGGTCAGGCGTTGTTAACTCTCTGCAAAGACAAAAGAGAGGCGAAGGACTTGAGAACACAGACAGAGCAGGGCTCACCAAGCTGCCCACTCCCTTTGGCTGTTCCTGTTAAAAGGAGATGCCTTGCGCAAGGCCAGGAGTGCCCATCCCCCAGGTGGTGTCCCTAGGGCCACAGGGCCAGAGGGTGTAGCATGACCTGAGCTCAGCCACTTCGTACGTTTTACCTTTCAGGTCTATCTTGGGGTCCAGGCTGCTAACAGCCTGGAGTCCCTGAGGTGTGCCTGGGTCATGTGCCATCTGTCACTGAGCTGGCTTTGCAGGCAATTGCAGCATGCACCAGGGCGCATCGCTGTAGGCTGAGGGTGTTGTCCCACGTTCAAAATGGAAGGGATGACCCTGGGGCAGCCAAGTGGCACCAGGGACACAGAACAGCACGCCGGTGCCCCTTCTCTACCTAACAACGAACAGAAGCTGCAGGAACAATTAACTAGTGAACACCAGCTGCCATCACGTCGACTCTACTACACGGCAAGCCCGCGTGTGTCAGAGCAGACAGTGCTCCAGAGGGCCTGCAGCGGCCGGCAGGTCAGAAGCGGACGGCCAGGCCTTTCTTCCAAGGCAGCTCTGCCTGGGTGGCCTCCAACCTCCCACCTTCTGTCAGCATGAATCACTTATACCGCCCAGGGCCTCCCCAGACAGAAGCGGGGGTCCGTTTAAAGGCACACATTTCCTGCCCTTGGAATCCATTTCAACAACAGGTTTGCAGCCCTGGGAGCGCCTCTGTAGCCTCGTCCCCTCCCCAGAAATGAACCAAACCAAGCCGAGCACCTTTGTGGGGCCTACCCACCCCACTGGCTGACCTCCCGGGGGGATAAGGCCCCCTTGGCCTCTCCACTCCACACAGCCCATCAGTACACCCTCCCTAGTTGCCATTAACCCCCCAAAGCAGAGACAGGAAGAGAGCAGCGTTCAGTTTCAATGTGAGGCCCGCTCCTCACATCTGACCTTTCCTGGGCCTGGTTCTCATCCCAGCTCTGTGGTTGGAGCTTCAGAGACAGTGACACAGGCACGAGGAGTCTGCAGATTCCCTCAAGGTCTCAAAGAGAAACAAAGACTGACCACTCTGATGGTGAAGAACAGGGCAACACCTTGTCAGTCACTCAAAACTGTTGTGCGTGGGAAAACGCTGCAGAAGCTGCAGCTCTGTGGGAAAATTAACTGCATGCTGCTATTTACTCGCTGTCCAGACTGTACATCCTATTCTCCTCTTGACTTCAATTAGACTTTGCAGTGGGGGTTGTTGAAATCACTCAATTACGGGCCAACCAGCAAGCACAGGGACAGTTACCTTCCACTGGTCTTGGAAAACAAGTTCATCCAAAGTGCAGAACCAGGGAGGGAGAGGGGAAGTCAGTACATTTTTAAAGATTGACTATTTGGCCAAGAAATCTGGTCTCCAGAGGCGAAGGTTACCAGGCCACACCAGGGACCGGAGACCCAACTCCAGCCCCACTCCATCTAGAAGTGACACACTGGGACCATGCGGGCCCTGGCCCTGGGAAGGTTCTCAGCACACTCTCAAAGTTCTATTCAGAAATGCCTACCAGGGCAACGCCAGGAGGGACAAGGCCAGGGCACGGACTTGGCATCAGCCTTCCAAAGGGGCGCCTATGCCACCTTGGTGGCTAAGGGAAACCTGATGGTCACGACTTTCTTCCTGTGTGCACCTCAATTCCATTCAGGAGGACACCAGCCCCTAGTCCAAAGGCTGGGGGTGACCTGCCTCCCTTTCCTCTCTAAGGAGGCAGTCAGTTATGGTGGTTACAGGCTCAGGTCCTCTAGTCAAATATGCCTCAGTTGGAATCCCAGCTTTGAATTAGGAGAGTGACCTCTGCCAAATTACCTACTCTCTGAGCCTCAGTTTCCCTCTCTGTAAAAGAGCACAGCAGTGATAATAGAGCAGGAGGGGCCCTTTGCTTGGTGCCTGGCTCCTCTGAGGACATACCTGACAGACAGCAGCTATTGTTATCCAGTCCACAAGGGGTCTGGGGGCCAGGTACTTCCACTGGCAACAGGCACTTAAGCATCTGTCCACTCAATAAATGGAAACAAGATAAATTCCATCACAAGGGAATGGGCTGTATCAAGTCCATCCCTCTGATGGCCTAGTATATGGCCAGGAAGAATAATGATGTGAAAAATCTATCTCTTACCATGGAAATAGGGACCCCCTCCCAGACACACTGATGGGCATCCAGACACACTAAGTTGGCCCGAAGCAGTGCGGTGGGGCCTCCGGGCTCTCGCTGGCTCCAACCGCAACAAGCCCCCTATGGGGCACAAGCACATAGAGGCAGCCTGAGGGGTGAAGAACTGAAGCTGCCGGGCAGCTGAGGGCCGGCAAACATGCCATGCACTAAAAAGAGAAAGTATGACAACCTCAGGGATTGCGCAAGAGAGGACACATGCACGGCATGTACCAAGACAGAGGGTCCGTGTACAACACATACCACGAGATGATGTGCACGACATATACCAAGACAGAGAGTCCACGGACAACATATACCACGAGAGAGGTCATGTGCGTGACACATACCAAGAGAGAGAGGTCATGTGCGTGACACATACCAAGAGAGAGGGTCGATGTACAACATGTACCATGAGAGAGGATGTGTACATGACACATACCAAGAGAGAGGGTCGATGTACAACACGTACCATGAGAGAGGTCATGTGCGTGACATATACACATGCAGGGCAGAAACAGAAGGCTCAACTCTGGCAGCAAAATGGGGCTAGGGTTTACAGAGGGACCCTGGCACCCAGGCCAAAGATAGGCAGCACTGCCTGCAAGAGCCCAGAACGGGAGACAACCTAGATGTCAAACTAGGTGACAACCACAGGGGACTGAGTAAAGAAATCAAGCTGCAGTTACTTAAAGGAAAGCCAGATTGCCTGCAGAAGGAATTTGACTGTGGCTATTCTAATTCTATGGATATGATGCAGTGTATCCAAGAACACTTGGATTGACACGGTGGCTGCGATGATGGGCTCAGGTATAGCTGAGAACGTGGAGCTGGCACGGGATCGGGCAGTGTTTCATTCTGCTGTGCATGGGGTCACTATGAGTCGGAAATGACTCGACAGCACCTAACAACAACATCCAAGAACTGCCTTAAAGTAGAAACAGCAAGGTCCAGAAGAAGGCACACAGGATGGAGCCTGGAAGAACTGGGATGGTGGTTCAAGGCACTTCTCAATGCAGTCTTACCTGCTGTTTGGATAGTTAACCAGAAGCCTGGGACGCTTTTTCACTAAAACAAAAACCAAACAAACCAGGCACTACACCAGGGAGGAAGGCGGCTTCCCAGGCAGATAAAGACTGTGACAGGGTGGCCCTCCCGTTCATGGTCCCCGACTGGTGAGCCCAGGGGCTGGTGCAAGGTCCATGGAGGGGTAGCAGAAGGACAAGGACCTGGAAAGGCAGACACAAACCCAGCCAAGGGCTTGGAATGGTAGGTGCATAGAGCCTCTGCTGCGCAGCTTCAGGGAATCCCCAAGGTAGCTGCTCAGCCTGTTTGGAAGAAAGGGCTTCTTTGGCACGCCCTGGACACTAGCACAGTGCCTTGCACACAGTAAGGGTGACAAATGTTTCTGTAATCTACCTAAAACACAGCGGCATCTGAAAGGAACTGGCACAGTCTCAGACCTTGTAAGTCAAATCCAGAGCAAGCTCCAGGACCTGGCGCAGTCTGGAATTCCCAGGGATTCCCACGGCCCCGCCTCGGCCTGGCCAAGTTCACTAGGCTTGCCCATGCCCATCCAGGACTCGGCCTGAGAATGGGGCAGGGTCTTCTTGGGGAGGAGCCAGGGGCCCACCCCTGAAAAAACCGGTGCAGAAACTCTGCCCAAGGTGACACCTGACACAGCCCTCCTACAGGCCACCTCTGGGGCGGGGACTATGCTGTGGCCTGTTGGAGTCTCAATCTGTACTAAGAAGTGCATCTATGCATGTCTGTCTTAAGCACTGTGCTTCTTAAAGAACTATCTGGATGGGATCAAACTGGCCACAGGGTGAGGCAGGCAGCCTTTGGGGCAGCGAGTCCATGTCTTAATGGGGGAGGAGCGGCTCAGAGAAGAGGGGCGAGAATGGCTGCACAGCTTGAGGGATGTCGTCAGTGTCACCAGACTGCACAGGGAGAAACGGCCACTATGATGTGTGGTCTACTGCACATATACTCAACAAAATAAAATGATTCAAAACAGGAAAGAGCAGGGCAGCTGCGGTCTGCTGCTCAGGTGCGGTACCTTACGCACACCAGCCGTGACACACGCCGACTGCCTCCACCTGACAGACAGAGGCAGCAACTCCCCCAGAGTCTCAAGGAGAGAGCTTGGACCTCCTTGGTCCAAGGGGGACCAGCTCCCAGGCTGTGTTTCCCACACCTGCAATGCGGGGTCCCCACTCATCCTTCCACCCCAAATGCATCCTTCAAAAGCTCATGTGAACAACTACATGATGAGCCAGGAATTGCACTCGTGGGCAAGCATCCCAGAGAAAGAGAGTCCTGCGTACATGGACACCTGTACACAAGTGCTTGCGGCTGCTCTATTCATAATGACGTAAACATGGAAACGAGCCTGATGTCTTTCGACAGGTGAGTGGTTCAAGGGACAGTGTTGCATTCACACCACGGACTACACTCAGCAGCAAAAAGGCACTAGTCATGTGCAATGGCCCCAATGAATGTCCAGCAGATCATGCTGAGGGCCAAAGTCAGCCCCCGAGGTTACACACTGTGTACATCTATCCACAAGTACGCCATTCTTGAAACAGCAAATCATATAAACGAAGAGCAGGTCAGCAGCTGCCAGGCTTTGTGGCAGG